TTTGGGGTACAGATGTGGGGTACAGATGTGGGGTACAGATGTGGGGTACAGGTTTGGGGGTCTTACCCCAGTTGGCCGAAGGCGATGTTCTCGTCCATCCTGGAGCTGGTGTCTCTCTCCTCCGGGGTCATGTGACACCACTTCTCCCTAAAAACAAACAAATGAAGATTTAATTTGATTTCTTTACATAATTTATCTGATTCACACATTAATTTGTGGGATTGTTTCAGTTTAATGTGTAAAAATTGAGGTTTTTCCATCGTTTTAGGCTAAAATCAGCTCCTGTTTTCAGAGGATTCTTCATTAAATTTAGTAGTTCCTCATTTTGGATTAAAAGGGCAGAAACTCTGAGTTCTCTGGACTCTAGTTTGGATCAGATATTGGTGTTTTGTCCAGAAAAAGCTCATTAAATGGAGCCGTTTGTGTCCTTTTAGCCAGTTAAATGGAAGAAAAGCAGAGTCAGGACTCAGATGATGCAGTAAACCTGCAGCTTTCTGCATGAATTTCTGATTTCCAGATTAATTTTCATATATTAGAGGATGTTATTATGAAAAACGAGTCTATTATAAATGTTTTGTGTGAAATTGGCTCATATTTTAGGAAAAAAGTGTTCATAAAACTGAATTTAAACACTTTAAATTAGAGAAATTCTGCTTCAGTTTAATTTACTTTGGTTATTTATCTGATACTTACATACATTTTGTGGAATTACATTAGTTTCTTAAGGAAAAACTGACAGATTTCCATCATTTATGTCAAATAAAGTCATATTTTCAGGGGGATGTTTCCCCAAACTGACGAAGAGACACTTTAACTCTCATTTTGTCCTCTGAGGTTAAACTAAAGGTATGAAATTAACCAGTTTCCAACACAATAACGTATATTCTCCACTTATTTCTTTAACATCTGAACAGAGCTGATTTCAGGAAGTTGAAGCCTCATTATGGAGGAAAAAGGCAGAACTCTGAGTTCTTTGGACTCTGGTTTGGGTCAGAGGCTCAGATGTTGGTGTTTATCCAGAAAAAGCTCATTAACTCATTGGCTGCCAAAGACGTCTATAGAGTCTTTTATGTTTTTAACGAGAGTGTCTGGGGGACGATCTGCTAAAGCTTGTCCGTAAATATGGGCTTCTAGACAGAGTATGTAGAAACAAATTGAGCCTCTAGGGGGCAGTGCCACTTTTGATGGGAGATGAGCATAGACTGTAGGCAAATAAGAAAAAGGTAACGGTTCTATGAGAGAACATGTCGCCGGTG